GCCAGTCTTCCACCTGGCGGTTGCGTTCCACCTTAATGAGCGACAACTCCCTACCTCTGAGTGTCGGCAGAGTCAACTTGGGAATCAGACTCACAAGTCCCTCTGCATGTGACGCGGAGCTACTGGCAGTGGGTGGGTCCCGGGGTTGGGGACTGGGTTGAGGTTGGGGTTTGGCCTGAGGTATGGTGTGGGTGGCCTCGGGTTGGGGTGTGGATTGAGGTTGGGGTTGAGGCTGAGGTATGGTGTGGGTGGCCTCGGGTTGGGGTGTGGATTGAGGTTGGGGTGTGGATTGAGGTTGGGGTGGGTATGGTGTGGCCTGGAGTTGGAATGGGTATGGGGTGGCCTGGGGTTGGAATGGGTATGGGTATGGGGTGGCCTGGGGTTGGAATGGGTATGGGGTGGCCTGGGGTTGGAATGGGTATGGGTATGGGTATGGGGTGGCCTGGGGTTGGAATGGGTATGGAGTGGCCTGGGGTTGGGGGAAGGGTTGGTATGGGAGGTGGGGTTGGGGTTGTTGTAGTGACGGATGAGGTGTACCTAGGTGTTGTGGGTGCTGTGGTATTGGTGTTATGTTGGGTAGTTCCTGCTGTTGGTGTGGTTGTTCATATTCCCGTTGAACGGGTTGCTGTTCTCTACCGAGCGAAGTGGGACGTCCTGCCATACTAACTGAGGCCCCCTGTCTACCCTGCTGGCATGGCGTCGATGTTATTTGTGGGGGAACCCAAGACGGCTCTCCCCACTCATGGGACGACTCCTCGCAAGACTCCCCACTCATGTCAATAATAGTATCTCTCCAGGGATGGAAAGATACCCTCGACTGCCCAGTCCCATGCAGAACCCGTGAACTCGTCGCTTCAGTCCCACTGGCCCCACCTGTGGTGCCAGTTGAGCTACCTGAGCGGTCCCCAGTGGTGTCGGAAGAGGTTCTATCCTCTACACTCCCATTCCCACTGGTCCCTACTGACTGGCCATTATCTGGGTTAAACATTTTCTGTGATTCCTGGTGTGCCACGTCTCTTCTAAACTACCCTTTAGTACACCCTCGACCCGAACTCACTACAACCGTGATCTTACACAAATAATAAAAAAAAATCGCAACTCTTTTCCAAGAAACAACTACTAAATCCCCAAAATAGGAAATACACCGATTTATCGAGAGAATCGTTGAAGTGAATCCAATGAATGAGTGTCTACCCCGCACTCGTGTCTGACCGTGAAATATCCCGCAGTTCTATTGCTGAAACCTAAGTCCTTTACGTTAAAAAAATTAAAGAATCTAATTTATATAAAACAATTTAAATGATAACGCAACTAACGCGCAGCACTCGTGATGGATTAATAAAGAATATTTACTGTACTTGAATACTAAACGCGCTTGAAGTGAGCAGCGTGGCCACTGATGACTGATGGAGCGGGACCAGCTGCGCTGAAAAAAAACTAAGTCCCGCGCTTTTTCGCTTAAACGCTGAAAAATCAAAATTTTTGTTCTGAAGGAAAATAACTAGTTTTACGTTAATAAACCGCTCTAGCGATTAATATAGACACCCAGGACCTATAAATGCTTACTAAAAATTGAATTTTTATCAAAAAACTACGTTTTTACTCAATTGCTGGACTCTGCCAATTTTCCTGACTCCGAGGGAAAAAAATTTCTATCACCCCAAATATCACAAAACTCCTTTAATTCACAAAAATTTGGGTTTCTCGTTCCCAGATATAAATACGTTATTATTTAATACTGACGTTGTATACAGAACAATACTGACACATCGGGCGGTTTCAACACTCACTAATTCGAATTTTCGTCAAAATCAGAGATTTTCACCTCAAATGGACTCTGACAAAATTACGACACGATTTTCTCGAAAAATAACTAAATTCGGCAAAAATGTAATTATCACTGTTTAATGCTTTACGAACAGAATTACGTCCCTTGCGCGCACTAGAGAGTAATACTGGCCCCAGAATATACACGAAACATGAAAAATTAGAATTTCCGCCAAAAAGTCAGATTCTAGCCCAAGCTGGACTTAGAAAATTTTCCACCTACGTTTCTACTGAAAACAGAATTCTAAGTCTACAAACACAATTCTACCGTCTTACTGGTAAAAACTAGAAAATATCACTCGCATCGACTGGAGAATCCTAATGACGCCCAGATCATACACGTGACCCACGAATACAAATTAATTAGTTAACGAGTTTCCGACATCGACTTAGCCGAAAACTTATCCCAAAATACTTAGAAATATACCACGGACTCTATTAAGCATTTACACGCAACTTATTATCCCTTAAACTCCTTCACTTATCTATCGTGACCGACATATAGCCCTAAGTCCAGAGGATTAACTACACTCTAGCAACAACGCCTCTGACTTAGACTAATAGAACAGGGAATAACAAAACTTAACGTACGCACTTAGCCTAATATGCAAGAAAACGCTAAACACTTGGGAAAAATTTTAACCGGGGATTGAATTTAGGGGAAAAAATTAATCTAGAACAACGCAAATAAACGGAAATTACTTTATAAATTTAAGTATACTTAATTCAAAAATGCACTCGACTTAAACTTATAATTGTTCCTACCGGCTCGCCGTACCACACCTAGCCTAGAGGCCACACCATCTAGGTTCCAACAGAGCGACACGCAGCTTTCAGCAACAATTATGACTAGGGACGACTCAACCTCCACTAAGTGTGCGATCACTTAGTTGTTGAATCGCTGCTAGGTAGTTTACTAGTCCGTCCCTCGGAGGCCGCAACGCCCTTCACGGATTACGTTTTTCCTTAGCGTTTTGGGTCGTCTAATAACGCCCTCGGACTATCTACTGGCGTCCCACAGATATATCCGCCCCCGACAGCCCTCAAGGAACTGCTGTTGAGAGTATGGCGGCTCCCAACACCTCTGAATTAATTGCAATGGGTCGAGTATGGTACCCAGTCCAATCAACTCGGAGCGGTCTCCTTTTCAATAAATCTAATTTTAACAGCCTAATCTTACTAACTAACCTTAATCATATCAGCCCGCATGACCCAAGATTCGCCAATCCCCACTCAAACGCACTTGTGGGGCGCACTGCTAATCCGGGCCCGCGGCTGTCTCCTTAGCATCCGCGCACGTGTTCGAACGGCTAGACGCGTGAGCCTTTCAACAATTTCAAACAAAATTGTTGAAACCACCGCTGTGCACCATTGTAACACGGGTTCGGGTTCCTCTCTCTTTACTTCCTTCTTTCTACTCCCTCTACCCGTATTCTTACTTTTATTTCTAAACCAAGGGACTCCAAAACTTTTACCAAAGCCAACTCCACGCCACGTGGTCCTAAGACGATTGACCGACTTAGGATTCTACACCCAGTATGACGTGACCTAAGCTCTGAACAAAACCCTAGAGTCACCTCTGCTGCCACCACCAGACCAGTAATACAAGAGCAATGATCGAGGTCTGGATCGATCACGCTAATTAATCAACCTAGGGGCTTGATCCCCACTATAAACGATGACCTTGAGTGTGGAATAAATTACACGGTAATGATAATTCCGATTCGATGTTAGAATCGGCGCCCAATGCAACTCTGCCTCGTGTGGACCACGTGACCAGGACAAGTATACACATAAAACACATGGAAACAATAAAATGCAAATTAATAACAAATTTAATTTATTAAACGAAAACTAAAACAAAATCTAAATATGTTCACTCCCTATCAATTTAACACTCCCTACTTGACCTGAGTGGCAAATGAGACTATTTCTATACTTAACAATAGCAACTATACCTTGGGCGACCACAGTTCTAGGTGTTGGGCCTGTTCTTGGGGAGAGGTAAGATGTTTGACCTCTCCTAGCTGCTTCCGTGACCACACTGATTTGTCCTCGTCTGATCTCGCCCAGACAGAGTATTGTATTGTTCCGCATCGCTTACCCAGTTACTTTAGCAAGGTTAAGTTATAACAATTAACCTCTGTTTGTACTGAATTGATCCAGACTGGTTGAATTATTTTACTTTAATTAGATTACACAAACATCTAACGGCAAAGCTGTTCCCGATCACAAAAATGGTTATTAAAACTGAGAAATATTAGACATGTCAACCCTGCTGACCTATGACCGCCGGTCACTCCGCTTTAAAAGTTAGATCTGATTCGTGACGTCACTGATGGTGACTTAAACTCAATAATTAGAATACTCTTGATATTGTATCCAGTACTATTATACAATACAATTTTAATGCAAAATGAATAAAGGCTAATTTTCTCTAAATTCCTGAATACTATAGGATGATTCATTATACGCAGATATGAACAAAGCGTCGGTTATTTCCACCGCGAATTCCCCTGGGGGTCAGGTCACCATGCGGCTCAGCTTCCCATTCTCTTTTGTCGATAAACCACTCTGGATAATTCTTACAACAGCCTAGTTTGTTACACCACTACGGGTATGGGGTCCACTATCACTCACAGGATGGGTATGGGGTCCACTACCACTCACAGGATAGGTGTGGGGTCCACTACCACTCACAGGGCGGGTATGGGGTCCACTACCACTCACAGGATAGGTATGGGGTCCAGTACCACTCACAGGATGGGTATGGGGACCACTACCACTCACAGGATGGGTATGGGGATCACTACCACTCACAGGATGGGTATGGGGTCCAGTACCACTCACAGGATGGGTACGGAAGCATAGTTCTTGAAATAAACTATGTCTAACGAACTAATCAGTGTCAACATTATCGACTTAAATAATGTCACATCCTTTCGCAAAACTATATTATATACATTTTTATGCTCTCAACTTTGTAAGTGTTTTAGCAGTTCTCTAAAGTCTTCACCAGTTTATAATGGGCCTCATATGTGTATTATCTGAAATTTGTTTTTATACAGAGCTAGGTTAACCCTAACCTCTTGCTGGAAATGTTAACTATGGTTAACTCTGACCATTGTTGGTGAATGTCTTAAGGCTTAGTTAACAGAACATGTTACTGGCAGAGGTGCGGGTGTGGAGGGTGGACGGGAAGCCGGTGGTGGTGCCTCTGGACAGCTCTCTACACCACTGGATCACCACCTACGCGAAGACAGAGTCGTCCCCAAGATTAACGCTGGGAGAGAGGACCATTAATCTGGGCTGGGACCACAATAGCCTGACAACACTGGGACGCAACACGGCTCCTCTTCCTCCCTTCACTCAACATGTCTTCACGTTGTCGTGTGGAACTGACCGCGTCATCTACTGTGACGTCATGGTAACTAGATGGAATTTTTGGTTTAAAATTAATTTACGGAACGAGTGCATTAAAATGGTTGATATATTGTAATCACAGAATTATGGATGAGTGTTGATTTCAGGAATCTATCGCAACAATATAATGTTACGAGAAAAGTTGTATTGAATCAGTATTGAAAGTGTTGTCTTTTTTTTATTAATATATTAAATAATTTAATTAATTTAATTATTATTAATTAATTAATTATTAATTATTAATTATTAATTATTAATTAATTATTTATTATTAATTAATTATTAATTATTATTATTTATTATTTATTTATTATTTATATATAATACTTATTATTAATTAATTATTAATTATTAATTAATTATTAATTAATTATTATTAATTTAATTAATTTATTAATATATTTTATTAATATATATATAATAAAAGCTAGCTACGTGGTGCTAAAAACTCCCCATCACACAGGATGGTTAGTCATACAGAGGCATGTGATGAGTAGTCTACACTGGCAGACTCTGGGAGCATTGGGAGATACAAATCCTAAAGGGTTTTTTCAGTTATATCGTACTAAGACTAGGGAAAGGATAGGTCCATTAAAAACTGAGACAGGTCAAATAACAGATAGTGATGAAGAGATGAGTAGTATTTTTAATAAATATTTTGTATCTGTATTTACTAAAGAGGAACTTAACAATATGCCTTCAGCCGAACAAGTCTATGTGGGTGGGGACGAGGACAGGTTGACGAGTTTAACAGTTACCAGGGAGGATGTTCTTAAACAAATAGTAAAACTCAAACCAAACAAATCCCCAGGGCCGGATGAAGTGTTTGCCAGGGTGCTTAAAGAATGCAAAGAGGAGCTTTGTGACCCACTGTCAACCATATTTAATAAATCAATAGAGTCAGGCAGAGTGCCAGAGTTTTGGAAAGTTGCTAATGTGATACCAGTTTTTAAGAAAGGAGATAGATCACTTGCGTCTAACTATCGACCAATTAGCCTAACGTCTATTGTGGGAAAGTTACTCGAATCTATAATAGCAAATAAAATTCGTCTTCATCTTGAAAAACATAAATTAATAATTGAGTCGCAACATGGTTTTATAAATGGCCGTTCATGTTTAACAAATTTGTTATCTTTTTATTCTAGCATTGTTGAGGCAGTTGATAGTGGTAAGGATTGCGATGTTGTATACCTTGACTTTAGCAAAGCTTTTGATACAGTGCCACATGAAAGACTGATTAAAAAGATAGAGTCTCATGGTATTGGGGGTGCTGTATTAAGCTGGATCAGGGCATGGCTATACCAAAGGAAACAGAGAGTTAGTATAAATGGAATCAAGTCAGAGTGGGAAAATGTTGTAAGTGGAGTGCCTCAAGGCTCTGTCCTGGGACCTCTGTTGTTTATAATATATATAAATGATTTAGATTCAGGTTTGAGTAGCAACATTTGCAAATTTGCCGATGATACGAAAATCGGTAGGGAAATTAATTCGGAGGAGGACTCACTATCACTTCAAGTTGATCTAGATAGGGTTTTGAAATGGTCAAAGGATTGGCAGATGCAGTTTAATGCTGATAAATGTAAAGTTCTGAGGTTAGGTAATGATGATAGAGTTACAAGATACGAGCTAGATGGTGTTGTGATTGCGAAGTCGGATTGCGAAAGTGATCTGGGAGTTATGATTAGTAAGAATTTAAAACAAAAGGATCAATGCATAAATGTTCGTAATAAGGCAAATCGGACACTTGGATTTATTAATCGCAGCGTTAGTAACAAGACACCTGGTGTGGTTCTCAAGCTATATCTTGCTCTAGTTAGGCCCCATTTAGATTATGCAGTTCAGTTTTGGTCGCCATATTATAGAATGGATATAAATTCACTTGAACGTGTCCAGCGTAGGATGACTAAGTTAATTCCCCAAATTAGAAATCTTTCATATGAAGAAAGATTAACAAAGCTTAAGTTGCATTCACTGGAAAGGCGAAGAGTTAGGGGTGACATGATAGAGGTTTACAAGTGGATGAATGGACATAACCGGGGGGATATTAATAGGGTATTAAAAGTATCAACACAGGACAGAACACGAAACAATGGGTATAAATTGGATAAGTTTAGATTTAGGAAAGACTTGGGTAAATACTGGTTCAGTAACAGGGTTGTTGATTTGTGGAACCAATTGCCGCGTAACATTGTGGAGGTGGGGTCCCTCGATTGTTTCAAGCACGGGTTGGACAAGTATATGAGTGGGATTGGGTGGTTATAGAATAGGAGCTGCCTCGTATGGGCCAATAGGCCTTCTGCAGTTACCTTTGTTCTTATGTTCTTATGTTCTTATGTTCATTATGAGGATATCATCAACACAAGAGTGAATAAGGCAGCAGTGGTAATACAAGTCCCCATCTCGCAGGATGGTTAGTCATACAGAGCCATGTGTTCAGTAGCCGGCACTGGCAAATTTTGGGTACACTGTGAGGATATCTTCAAGAATGCAAGAGTGAATAAAGTAATTACAAAGCTCCAGGTACCTCATGCCAACTGGTCTGAAAGGTCTATTAACTGGGCATTCAGTGATATAGTGTGGGAGATCATGCCGCAGTTCCTGCTCACAGAGTTTGCAACTGGAGTGCTCAGGATTGGGAGATCCGTCACCTGCAGCCACCTGCCACAGGTAACGGTAACCCAACCATATTGTTTGTAAACGTCACTGCGGGAGTGTTCCTATATATGACAGCTAAGATATTTTCGGCCTTAAGAAAATGTACTTTCATTTGCAAATAATTCAATTTCTTTATTATGCACCCCATACCCATCCCGTGGGCGATGGTGGAAAGGGTTCAAACACAATGGGTTCAGGAACTGAACTCCATAGTTCGTTTAGTTAAGAAAGTGACAACCTTTTGAAGCTAGTTACATAATTGTTAATGTTACATACGCATGTGCACATATATACAATCATTTATAAACATATACATATCAATAATATTTTTATATCACAAGTGATTCAACAAGAGGCTGACAGCAGTGTTATGAATCCCAGGAAGCCTAATGAGGTAGATCTGCCTTGTGAGTTAATCCTCACCTGACTAGATTAATAAGGGAATTAAACCAAGCAAACGTCAGTAATTATGATTATGGAGAAGGAAAGCATCTTAAGGACACGAGGTAAGATAAGATGTCGACAGTATCTTACGAGACGTGACGAGAGCGGAGATCTTAAACGGTCACTTCAGTCGTGAGAGTCGACAGGGACGGACGTATGTCGTTGCCTTCTATGAAGAAGGAAGTTTGTAGCTCATGGGTGAAGAATTTGAGAGAAGACTATGCGATCAACGTCGTGAGGAAGCGTCGAGGACGACGTGTGACGTATCTCTGTTATCGTGGTAACGGTATAGGGGCGACCTGAAGCCTATTGGGTGTGGTATAGGGGCGGCCTGAAGCCTATTGGGTGTGGTATAGGGGCGGCCTGAAGCCTATTGAGTGTGGTATAGGGGCGGCCTGAAGCCTATTGGGTGTGGTATAGGGGCGGCCTGAAGCCTATTGGGTGTGGTATAGGGGCGGCCTGAAGCCTATTGGGTGTGGTATAGGGGCGGCCTGAAGCCTATTGGGTGTGGTATAGGGGCGGCCTGAAGCCTATTGGGTGGTCATACCTGTGTGGACCCGACTGTGTGAAAACCTTTTAAGTGGATAAATTGAGCAGGTGTTCCCGTGTGGAAATTGTTATGCGACTTTTCACGCTCAAGTATGGACAGTTAGGGGCCACGAGTGGCACGTCCAAGAGAAATTTGTGGACGACCCGGTAAGACGCCATATTTGTGTGTCATCGAAGAGGCGTCGACACACCAACCTTTAGCAGCAGCAGCCCAAAATACTGCACTATACAGCTTGTAATAATTTGATCGTGTGCCCAGCGACCGTATAGGTCGTTTGTGAATGTAGGTTTGAGAGTTTGTGAAAATAATGAGAAGATAAAATGAGTTTGAGATGATTTGATATTATGGAGGTGGGAGCGACACATGTTTGCTCGCCTGATGCCAGTGTACGACTGGGGAAGGGAGTGAGGGATATGTCAGGGGAAAGCGCCAAGCCATTACAACTGTATAGCACTTTGAAGGGGTCAGGATAAGGATTTGGGATGGGACGGAGGGAAGGAATGGTGCCCAACCACCCAGTGGAGGAGGAATTCGGGATGGTCGCGCCCAAAAGTAGGGGAGGACCCCCGTAGTGATGTGTAGTACATCGCAAGGTGAAATTTAATGTAAATATGTATGTTACTTATGTTTTGATAGAATAAGTTGTTATTATTGAATGGTAATGGGATTACAGGTTTGTACAGCGGAAGTCAATGTGTGTGGTGACGTTTGTATTGTGGAACTACATGTGTATGATGGAGCTTGTGTAGTGGACCTACATGTATAGTGTGAAGTCTGTGTAGAGGAACTTCGCATGTATGAAGAAGCCTATGTAGTGGAACTTCATGTAGCAGTGGTACCTATTGGACAGGAGTCGTCGCTGATGAATGAAGCAGCGACATGAGAGCTTCAAGAGTACCTACTTGATTCAAGAACCCATTGATAAATGGACTTGATAATGATTTTATAAACGTAATACAGAGATTAATATGAACATCATTGTTGTCCATATATTTTGCACTGTTGCATTAATATTTTCTCCATTGAGTTAAAGTATATTCAAGTTGCCTAGCCCAGACGGTGAGAGGGGGGCAAGAGATTGCTAGTGAAGATTAAAGCAGCATCCTAGTGAACTGTGTTTGTTGGAGTGTTGGTATTATATACGCGTGATGCTCATTTGTTGGATCTGATGATAATATGCTGTTATTTCTTTATTCTTTTTAATTTTTGTAATAAATGTTTGTCTGTAGACAACTTGTCTTTGCACTCGTCCCGGCGAGGAATTTCTAGAATGCGAGAGAGAGAGAGAAACAGTTTCAGGCCGGTCGACAGCAGACATAATATCATAAGGGGGGAACTGGAAGGATGTCATCCCAAAGCAAGGAGAGTGAGGGTAATACACAGTGGCTCAGCCGGGTGTGTAGTCATGACAATGGACCAGATTTGAGCAGAGTCCCCCAAATAAGGTGACGTTGAGCCCCTTCTCCGTATTTAAGATCATTATTGAGTGATTCTCCAGTGTGCTCTCTAGTGTTGATTGATTGCAGTAGTAGTTATTATATTATTTTATCAGGGGGGGGGGTGGTCTCTGATGATTAAAAATTAGTACCCCCTTCCCCCTGATAAGTCACTATACAAGGCACTTTACAGTTATATAGTCTTGCTCCACACCCACCCAACTGGGCGGCAGCTTTAGTCATGTGCTCTACACCCACCCAACTGGGCGGCAGCTTTACAGTCTTGTGCTCCATACCCACCCAACTGGGCGGCAGCTTTACAGTCATGTGATCCACACCCACCCAACTGGGCGGCAGCTTTACAGTCATGTGATCCACACCCACCCAACTGGGCGGCAGCTTTACAGTCATGTGCTCCACACCCACCCAACTGGGCGGCAGCTTTACAGTAATGTGCTCCACACCCACCCAACTGGGCGGCAGCTTTACAGTCATGTGCTCCACACCCACCCAACTGGGCGGCAGCTTTACAGTCATGTGCTCCACACCCACCCAACTGGGCGGCAGCTTTACAGTCATGTGATCCACACCCACCCAACTGGGCGGCAGCTTTACAGTCATGTGCTCCACACCCACCCAACTGGGCGGCAGCTTTACAGTCATGTGCTCCACACCCACTCAATTGGGCGGCAGCTTTACAGGCATGTGCTCCACACCCGCCCAACTGGGCGGCAGCTTTACAGTCATGTGCTCCACACCCACCCAACTGGGCGGCAGCTTTACAGTCATGTGCTCCACACCCACCCAACTGGGCGGCAGCTTTACAGTCATGTGCTCCACACCCACCCAACTGGGCGGCAGCTTTACAGTCATGTGCTCCACACCCACCCAACTGGGCGGCAGCTTTACAGGCATGTGCTCCACACCCACCCAACTGGGCGGCAGCTTTACAGTCATGTGCTCCACACCCACCCAACTGGGCGGCAGCTTTACAGTCATGTGCTCCACACCCACCCAACTGGGCGGCAGCTTTACAGTCATGTGCTCCACACCCACCCAACTGGGCGGCAGCTTTACAGTCATGTGCTCCACACCCACCCAACTGGGCGGCAGCTTTACAGTCATGTGCATGCATTACTTACAGTAAGCAAATTTTGGATACTTCGCTAGGATTCTCTGCAGCACATCATTATGAATGAAATACTTACACATTTCTTGGACACCATTGATGGTGTTTCTGTGGCTTCCGCGATTTTATCACATTCTATTATATAATGGCGCAAAGTATGTATTGATAGGGGGGGCCTCGTAGCCTGGTGGATAGCGCGCAGGACTCGTAATTCTGTGGCGCGGGTTCGATTCCCGCACGAGGCAGAAACAAATGGGCAAAGTTTCTTTCACCCTGAATGCCCCTGTTACCTAGCAGTAAATAGGTACCTGGGAGTTAGTCAGCTGTCACGGGCTGCTTCCTGGGGGTGGAGGCCTGGCCGAGGACCGGGCCGCGGGGACACTAAAAGCCCCGAAATCATCTCAAGATAACCTCAAGATAGAAATGATCTGGCCTGAATGAAACATTAGCCAGATTAGCGAGTTAGGATTTCAACTTTTGTGGCAGGCAAATCGGCAGCACGGAGCCTGGGGTCTGTGTCCCCCGGATACATAGATTGGAGACCCGGGAGCTGCTGGTTTCCTCATTTACTAAGGGTTTTATTATTATTATTATTATTATTATTATTATTATTATTATTATTATTATTATTATTATTATTTTCTACGCTGAGTGCGGGACACTTTCCCCGCGAGTGCAGGAAGTGGACAGTGGCACTGGTGTGTGTGTGGGAGGGGGGGGGGGGCGGGGTGCTGCCACACTACACTGATAAAATCCCACATCTTCCGTCTCTCTTCCCCTATTTTCCTTATATTCCCCCGCTCCTCCTTCTCACCCCGTCTCCTAAACTTTCCCCTATCACACCATCTCTTCTTCCCTCTTTCACTTCTCCCCTTCTCTAACCTCTCCCCATTCCCCTCCCCCCACGTCTCCCCCCTCCCCACGTCTTCCCTTTCTCTCTCCCTCTCTGTCATCTCTCCCCCTTTCCTCCCCTCTTTCATCTCTTCCCCTTCTCTTCCACCTCCACTTTCACCTTCCCTTTCCCCCACTTCTCGCCTTTTCTCCTGTACCCATCTTCACCTCCTCTATCTCTCTTTTTTTTAACTAAGACTCGGGTTCATAAGGACTGCCAAATGACGTACCTGCTGAAACTGCAAGCAAGAGCTGTTATCCTGTCTCAACTCATCTGAAGCCTGCTCCTAGAAACTCATTTATTCCATGAGAATGTACTTTGAAACTATCACATAGGGAACTATCATATAGGAACCTGGTGAAACTGCAAGCAAGAGCTGTAATCCTGCCCCAGCTCAGTTGAAACCTTCTCCTAGAGACCCAGTTTATATCATGAGCCTATTATTATATGCATCATTAGGAATAGAATTTATTAATAAACAACATTACGTAACAATCATGTAAGGAATAGAATAGGTCACTTCATAAGATTTGGGTAACTGTATGCCAGAGCCTTCATGTGATCAGTTGAGCTGATCTCCCGTGATCAGGAACTTACTGAAGGACAAGGCAGCCTGGGAATGTGATGGTCGCTGATGGAGTGATGTTCTTGGGACAGGCTGCTCCAGCATGATCATGGCCTCTTCCTCTCATTCTCTTCTCTCTCTCTCTCGCTGGTATTTGTTTCATGTAAATAATGATATTTGTTTATTAGAAATTATATACAGCATTTTAGTTTACTATTGTTCTTATTTTGAATTACATATACAGTATATGAGGCACCATAATCTTGTCGGTGTTTAGGGCCTTTAAAGATCTTAACCAAGATCTGGCTGGTACGAACATGGCCTCCTGTGGCTTCAGTCCAGTTCTGTCTTGGTAATAGGAATCACTAGCCAGATACATATATATATAATTGAGACAAATAAACCTGAGCTTTGCTCAATACACAACTGTCTCTCAGAAAGTATTAACGTACAGATCACTAACACATGACACAACACACACAGCCTTCTCCATCATCTTCCTCTACTACAGCTGGGCGAGACGAGATCGTCGACGGAGCGCCTCATACAGAGTCAGTTGCCGGGAGGTCTGTTGGTGGAGAGGTCCTCAGACAAGGCCTTCTACTTTCTGCTCCACCAGGAGGACCCGTTTCCTCCAGCTCCCATCCATACTACAATACTGCCAGACACCCTCGAGGCGACACATCTTCCTCCAGGTAAGTGCTTGCCTCAATTGTTCTTCTTAGGCGTTATATACCGTCTGATCCTTACACATGACTCTTGTGCAGCGCATTCTACTTAACGTCCAGTCATGCCATGAAGAAAAATCCAGTCAGTTCCCAGAGGGGCTGTCCCCTGGTGCAGAGTGGTGTAGAGCCAGAGGTGCTCTGTCCCCTGGTGCAGAGTGGTGTAGAGCCAGAGGTGCTCTGTCCCCTGGTGCAGAGTGGTGTAGAGCCAGAGGTGCTCTGTCCCCTGGTGCAGAGTGGTGTAGAGCCAGAGGTACTCTGTCCCCTGGTGCAGAGTGGTGTAGAGCCAGAGGTACTCAAGGCCACCAGCTGCCTGGTCTTGGTCTATACGGTCCGCCTGGTCCCCCTCGCTCGTCGTAACAAAGAACATAAACCTTCACCACTCTGAGTGGTGTACAAGAACTTGGACCCATTGCCCACTCAATGGGTACACTTGGACCCATTGCCCACTCAATCTCAAACTGTGACACTTTCTTTGCTCGTCGTCACTTGCCTGTAGAAGATTTACATGAATTTACCTCAGGGCCACTAACACTAATGGCCTCGACGAGGACAGGAAGCCGGCGGCTTTTCGAAGGTCTCCCCATTTGCACCGATGATTTTTTCCAGTTGGACTTTAAAATTTAACAGAGCTTTAGCATTTACGGCTGCAGCGGGTAGGCTGTTCCACGGGTTAATAACCCTGTGGGTGAAAGAGCATCTCCTGTTCTCAGTCCAACATTGTGGCTTGTTGAGCTTGAACCCGTTGGTCCATGTTTGTGTAACATCTGACCTTTTGAAGAAATTGTCCGGATCAACATCCTCCAAATTGTTCAGTATTTTAATTTTCGATGAGATCCGCCCTGTGATGCCTGGTTTGTAGTGTTGTTGGCCCTGTGGCCCTCAACCATTCCCCATACATGAGTTAACTTAGCACTGGAAGGATTTTTGTTGCTCGGTGTTACACTTTCTCCAGAGCAGCCATGTCCATGGTCAGAAACAGTTAGGCACGTTTCCTTTCACCTCCTGACTTTTTCATCCAAAAAATAAATAGGCACTTGGGAGTTAGACAACTGTTGTGGATGTCATCCTGGGAAATATTAGTAGATGATTTAGGTGGTACTACGATAAGCCTAAGTAATTAAGACCTGTTTGCCCACAGCTGTGAGAAGTATTATAATGAAACAATCAATTTGTATACAATTATAACTGAAACATCATAAATATTCTGCAGTGGTTTATTTCTAAAGTATTCATGGTCATCACCTTAATATTTTCTTTTAGATAATGGGCCTACCGCAGGAGTGAGGAGGGAGGTGGTGGTGGTGCTGGGCGCCGTGCTGGCCGTGCTGGTGGTGGCGTTCGCTGGCACACTGCTCTGGCTCACCCTCCGCCGCCGGGTAAGTTTTTTTTTTTTTTAGATATGTACAAGAGTTGATACATTCTTGTACAGCCACTAGTACGCGTAGCGTTTCGGGCAGGTCCCTGGAATACGATCCCCTGCCGCGAAGAATCGTTGTTACAACCAAGTACACATTTTACTGTTGGGTTAAACAGAGGCTTCAGTTAAGGATTTGCGCCCAGTAAATCCTCCCCGGTCAGGATACGAACCCATGACACTCGCGGAACGCCAGGCGAGCGCTTTGTCATGGGTTCGCATGGTGGTTATGGCCGCCAGGGAAATTAATGCTTAATTTTTAACGCGGGACCTATTTCTCTTGAGTTGTTTTCAGTAAGGAAATTTAGTGTGTACACACCTATTTGTGTCTGTTGGATCGAGCGTTGGCTCTTGGATCCCGGCTCTCTGGCTACCGGTTGTTTAAAGCAATGACTCCTGTCCTTCTTACCTATCATATCTTGTTTTAAAGTTGTGAATAGTGTTTGCTTCCACAATCTGCTCCTTTAGTTCATTCCATTTTCCTACTACTCTCATGCTAAAAGAAAACTTTCTAAAATCTTTATGAATGATATGAGTGTCCAGCTTCCACCCAAGTATCCTTGTCCTATTGTATTCCGTGTGAACAATTCGTCTGTCAATCTTCCTAAGTATTTTATATATTGCTATCTGTTACGACCCTGGGTTCATCAGTGGAAACCAGAGGTCAAATTGAGCATAAATAAATTACTTTACATTATTTGATGCGCTTGTTGACACGTCTTTGTTCGTATCTTCCTTGCCAGACGTAAGACGAATCTTGTTTCTCACAGGGCATTCAGACTCTTTGAGCTTGTTGTGAATTAAGTATAACATTGTAGTAATTATTAACCATCCTTAGAACGAGTAAAGCAAACAATATTGTACATCGGTGAAGATTTGTAATGTGTATAAGCTGCACGATCAATTAGGCTCTTCCCGGCACCACACACCTCGGGAGCTCTGGGACTGGAGGCTGAAGCGCTCTTCTCTGGCTGGCGGCGTGGTGTCAACAACTCTACTGTGTTGTTCTGCATCCCTCTCCCCTTCCTCCTACTTCTCTCCCTTACCTTATCCTGTGTCTAGTTTACATAGCTAAGTAGTGCTGCATTCTCGTTTTCTGGCATAAGTGTGCAGTAATGTGTATAGTGTATCACTAGTGTTTATATTGCTAATTTACTCTAAAGGGGGCTCAGTGGAAGCACGTGCTTCTCCAGTGGTACCAAGCTACCTAGAGTCCTTGCTAGTGTCCCTTGCCTAGTAGACTTTACCCTAGCTTGTCTCAAGTGTAAGCCTTGTATCCTGCCTTACGTCAGGCTGCGAGCAGCCGCGTCCAACAACCTGGTTGATCAGTCCAGCAACCAGGAGGACTGGTCGACGACCGGGCCGCAGGGACGCTAAGCCCCGGAAGCACCTCAAGGTATCTGCCTATGTGGACCAAGGTTGTTAACGTAAGATAGTGTGGTAAAGTAATTATTGTTATTGTTGTGAATGTATATGGGGGGTTGTTAAGAGGGTTTAATAAATAAGTTAGTTTTTGAGGTGTATCCATTACTCCTGTTGTAGTGGTGTAATTGATTGTATCCCAGACAACGGATCTGTTCTAAAACCTTAAAGTATAAACAGGAACCTATGTTCCTTGGGGGCCGGGCCTAATTGTGTCACTACCCTGTTACACCTTGATTCTAACTGCTGAGCCTTTCCATAATACTAGATCCCCCATAGCAGCCCACAAATTTATAGCACTATCATATCTCCCCCGTTCCCTCCTGTATAGCATCGTCAGGTTCAGTTCCTTCAGTCGCTCTTCATATTCCATCTCTTACAACTCTTGGACAAGCCTCACCGCAAATTTTTTAATCTTTTCCAGTTTACTAATGTGTTTCTTTAGGTCGGGGCTCCATGATGGCGCGGCATACTCCAAGACTAATCTCTCATAGGCAGTGTAAAGCGCTCTAAAAGCCTCATTACTTAGGTTTCTGAGTGACTTTCTAACTTTTGCTAGCATAGAGTACGCTGCTGTCGATATCCAATTTATATGTGCCTCAGGAGTTAGATTTAGTGTTATGTCCACTCACAGGTCCCTTTCCCGAATCGTCACAGGTAGGTAGCTTCCCTTCATTGTGTACTGACCTTGTGGTCTCTTGTCACCTAGTCCAATTTCCATAACTTTCCACTTGCTCGTGTTGAACTCCAGTAGCCATTTCTCTGACCATCTCTGCAACTTATTCAAGTCCTCTTGGAGGATCCTATAATCCTCATCTGTCACAACTCTTCTCATTAGTTTTGAGTCATTCACGAACATCGACATATAGGACTCGACTCTCATAGACATGTCGTTCACATATATTATAAATAGAATTGGTCCCAGCACCGATCCTTGAGGTACTCCACTCATTATGGGTCGCCAGTCTCACTTCTCACCCCTTACTGTTACTCTCTAGCTCCTGCCTGTTAAGTTAAAAAAAATCAAATACAAATTTGATTCTGATACAGCTATTGAGTTCAATAGGTTCTTCTCTTCCATTGGGTCATCCATTGCAAATGATATTCCATCTTCCAGTACTGATGTTAAGGACTATCTTACAGGTAACTATCCACAGTCTCTGTACCTAAAGTCTGCAAATTCCACTGATGTTAATGAGATAATCCTTTCCCTTAAAACCAAGTCTAGTGTCCTTGAGGAGATACCAACCTTAATTTACAAAAGAGCCTCCAGATCTTTAGCCCCTGCTATTGCATTGCTCTTCAACAAGTCACTTGAACTCCAAACCTTTCCAGATATTCTAAAAAAAAACGAGAGTAACTCCTGTCCACAAAAGTGGTGATCTCACAGATGTTAACAACTACAGACCTATATCAATCCTGCCTAACTTGTCAAAAATATTTGAAAAACTAATCTACAAGCAGCTTTACTCTTATCTAGCCAAATTCAATATACTTAGCTCTTGTCAATATGGCTTCAGACCCAAAAAGGCACTTATTAGTATGATTAACTTGATACATACAGCTCTTGATAAAAATGAGTTCCCTGTTGGGTTATTTGTGGACCTGTGTAAGGCTTTTGACACTGTCAACCACCAAAACCTTCTTCTTAAATTACATCATTATGGAGTCAGAGGACACTCCCTGCAATACCTCAAATCTTACCTTACTGACAGACTCCAATATGTTACTGTTAATAATTCAATTTCTCCCACCGTGGAATAAATGGGAGCCGGTCGGCCGAGCGGACAGCACGCTGGACTTGTGATCCTGTGGTCCTGGGTTCGATCCCAGGCGCCGGCGAGAAACACTGGGCAGAGTTTCTTTCACTCTATGCCCCTGTTACCTAGCAGTAAAATAGGTACCTGGGTGTTAGTCAGCTGTCACGGGCTGCTTCCTGGGAGTGGAGGCCTGGTCGAGGACCGGGCCGCGGGGACACTAAAAAGCCCCGAAATCATCTCAAGATAACCTCAAGGTAACCCTACCCATCAACATTGGTGTTCCTCAGGGCAGCATACTTGGCCCTCTCCTCTTTCTCACCTACATTAATGACCTTCCAAATGCCTCCCAACACCTCAAACCAATTATATTTTCTGACGACACAACCTTCATTTATTCCAGTCCTGACCCCCTTGCTCTTAATGTCACTGGGCTAAATAAAGTCCATCTTTGGCTAACTGCCAACAAACTCACCCTCAACATTGACAAAACTTTCTGTATTTTGTTTGGCAATAAATTCTCATATCAAATAAATCTCAAGATAAACAATACCCAAATTTGTAACAAAATAGATGGCAAATTCCTTGGCGTTCTCATTGACCATAAGCTGAATTTCCAGGGACACATTTTAAATATTAAAAAAGTTTCAAAAACTGTTGGCATTCTTTCTAAGATCAGATATTATGTACCTCGCCCTGCCCTGGTGATGCTCTATTACTCCCTCATCAATCCTTATCTCAACTATGGTATTTGTGCTTGGGGTTCTACTACCCAAAATCATTTACGTCCTCTAATTACTCAACACAAAGCAGCTATTAGGACAATATCCAACTCTGGCCCCAGACATCACTCGGTACCCCTGCTCAAATCTCTGAATATGTTAGATATTAAGTCACTGCACATCCTCTCATGTGTATTATATATATATATATATATATATATATATATATATATATATATATATATATATATATATATATATATATATATATATATATATATATATATATATATATATATATATATATATATATGCGAACAAGCCTGAATGGTCCCCAGGACAATATGCAACTGAAAACTCACACCCCAGAAGTGACTCGAACCCATACTCCCAGAAGCAATGCAACTGGTATGTACAAGATGCCTTGATTAAGGCGTCTTGTACATACCAGTTGCATTGCTTCTGGGAGTATGGGTTCGAGTCACTTCTGGGGTGTGAGTTTTCAGTTATATATATATATATATAAAACGCTGAACTGTAATGCCAATCCTGACCTTAAAGCTTCCTTGAAGGTTGTAACAGAACCCATGAGCACCACACCAGAAACAAATACCTTTTTGATATTCCTAGAGTACGACTTAATCAAACTAGAAATGCTCTATAAATCAAGGGACCCAGAATGTGGAATGACCTTCCCAACCATGTTAATGACTGTACCTCTCTCAACCAGTTTAAGATAAAAACTAAGCACTACCTAATTAACACCATGTAACCTACCTTTTCCCTTTAATGTCAACCCATGTCTGTTATTTTTTTTAAACAATGCTGTTTGTCGACAAAACTGTATTTTGCTGTTTTTCTGCCATGTTCCCCCCTTTCATTATGTTTATATTTTCTCAACACATTTTATACTCTAATCTCAATTGGTATTAAGTTTTAGTCTTTAGTGTTTTTCCTGCCCGAAACGCTGTGCGTAATAGTGGCTTTAGGCATTGTATGTACTACCTCTATCTATAAATTCATCAATATTTGCATCACCCCCTTGTATTTATGTACTTTAC